GGGGGGTCAGCGTAAAGATTAGGATCACCTGAAGCTTTTGCACAAACATGCACTTAGACATACACATAAGCATAAAAACAAAAAGCATACAAACAAACAAATACAAACAAACAAATGCAGTCCACACACACAAACACACAAGGACGAACTTTGTGGCACAAGTAGCGATTATTACCGACTTCCCAAGGGACGTACTGTGAACTCCCAGGCGGCGATGTGTGTGTTCTCAAATGTTCTGCTCGAAGGTCAAGGCTCAGGAACAGTGGGGATATTTACAAGTACGCAGCAATGGATGGCCTTTTCTGATGTCTTTTCCAACGACCAGATGCAAAATAAGCTGGGGATCTTGTATAGAAATTCTGTACACTAAACTTTGCTTTATGCATTAAAAGACCCCCCCAATGTGAGTGAGTAACTGGTCATGGCCTTGCTGGCCTCACAAAACAAAAACTAACCCCTTACGATTTTTAAGGATTTGTCGTCAGCGTAGTGTGTGTGTGTGTATCGCTGAGATCGGTTGTTTCTGCATCAACAGGGAAGTTAAGCAGACGGAGATCATAGTGATTCCCCAGGGCGCCCTCAACAGCCTGCAGCACCTCAGGAAACTGTAAGTGTGTGCGCCTGTTGTTCATGTTTATTATTTGATGTAGAACATAATGAACTAAGGAGGTCAAAACACTCAAGATATAGATCAAAACAACAGAGAAGATGCACCTTGATTTGGTGTTATTTCTCCAAATAAAAAAAAAGGATTTTATATTATGTTTGGAGAAATATAATTATCCCCTATATTCATATTGTTTCTACATGAGTTTAAATTGCATATAAAATCCCTGAAACTAATGTAAAACAAGAAAGCTCAAAGCTATTTGAACCTAGATATTCAGAACCCTGTTTTCTCTACATTTGATGTTTCTTGCACCTTAGCGCACAAGTGTCTCAAAAGCACTGTAGTACGGCAAATAACAAATGTTTCTTCCCTACCTTACCCTTACCATAGCACTATATGGGAGAACGAAAAGCTGGAGAGTATCAGTGAGTTTGCCTTCGCCAGCCTCTCTCAGCTCACCGATATGTGAGTATACAGTTTTCTAAAAGCCACCGCTCATGACGTGTAGGGATGCAGCAATACCAATATCAGCTCCGATACTGTTGTAATCATAAAACTACTCGACTGACTACATGACTTTATATGGTAGATGGACCTGTTCTTGCATAGTGCCTTTCTAGTCTTCCGTACCACTCAAAGCGCTTTTCCACACATTGACTTAGTGGTGGCAAAGCCCATCGAACAGAAACAAATGCATTCTGGGGAGCAATTTGGGGTTCAGTATCTTGCTCAAAGATATTTCGACACATGGCTGGAGGGGCCAGGGATCGAACAAACAACCTTCCGATTAGTGGACAACCCACTCTGCGTCTGAGCCACAGCCGCCCATATAACCTCCAGCATACACCTGCTATTAGTCGAGCAGGTAGAAGCAACGTCAGCAACTTTTACAACAACATTAACAACATTTCATTTGTTACAGTCGGAAAGTGAGGAACATCGGTCATTGTTAGAACTGTAATGGTATTATTAAGCACTCATATTGGTACTCGGTATCGGCAAGTACAAATGTAAATACTTGTACTTTTGTTTGGTCTGTATTGGTGCATCCCTACTGACGTATATATATTATCCAACGTGCTTGTGTCTTTAGTCTTTGTTATGGAACAAGAAGAGCCACAAACTCTGAGAAAGCTCCTCACCCAAACAGTGGAGCAAGCTCGGAGACACAATACATCAACGTATAGGTGTGAATGAAGGCCTAACAGCTGAGTTCTTTAATACATGTCATATATTTCATTTATGCATTTGTGTTCCCCTTAGCTTCATCTCTGGGAATGTTGCGTTAGAAAATATAGGAGCTTTTGCTTTCTCTGATCTCCCTGAACTCACCGAGATGTAAGTACAACTGGCAGGATAATGACAGTGGTGAAAGCCTGTAATTGTAAGTCATTTATGTTAATGAGTACATGACTGAATGTTTTTCTTTCAGAACCATAACAAAGTCAAAACACCTGACACACATCAATCCAGATGCATTCAAGGACATTGTGAAACTGAAGTATCTGTGAGTACTCAGCGAGAGTGCAGTGGGGAGGAATACTTTCTTCTAAAATGTGTGTTTTTAAAACTGATTGTGAGTCCAAAATGGGTCATGGGTGACAGGACTACTTCTGACGGGCCCCCACATGACCAGAGACATCATTTTTTAATTAGCTTGGATCCCCTGGAAGAGAAATCAAGTGTCACACTTCATCTCATGAAATAAAAAAGAAGATGTTTTTCCATAAAGTGAGCTAACCCTCATTTCATGTTGTTACAAAACAAACTTTTTTATTAAAGGCCTCACTGATATTTTCATAACTGTTACTGTTATGTTTGTCCCAATTTGTGAGAACTGGGACACGTAACTAATATTAAATGAATTTAATCAAACTATTAAAAACTAGTTCAACTATTAAACTTTATTAAATGTCCATTAAATGCACTGTATGTAAAAACTGTTCTTGAAACTAGTTTAATCATTTGTTTAAAAAAGGTTAAACGTTATTGCTCTTGGAGGCTGATTAGAAAGATGATTATATAAAACCTAAAAGGAGTGTCAGAAAGTCAATTGGATTACTTTTAACACGTTTTGATGCATTCCTGATAAGAAAAACATTGTTATTTAATAAAGATTTTTACAGTTTTGTTGCAAAATATAATATCCAAATCTTGCTTTTCAAGAGTAGTTCCCCTGACTTTTCATCTGGCGCCTCCATCAAGTCAAATAAGTTTAGTGATTTAGATAGTTTAAGTGGTTATGACATTCCCTGTTCTTTGTGCTGTTCTTATGTTACCATGTTGAACTAAGTTGCTGAAAATAGTAGATATTATACCTTTTAAACACCAACCCTATGTTTGCCTTAGCATTGTTAGAATGCTAGCATGTTGACTTTAGCATTTAGTTTAAACCAAAGCAACACAGAGCCTCTAGGAAACCCACAGTCTTGTTTTGAAATAAAGAAGTTTCCAAAAACCTGTTTAGTCTGAGTTCGGGATAATCAGTGTTTTACAGACTTGTTATGTATTTTTGCCCAAAAAACAAAAAGAGAACAGTTGTTTGGAACAAGAAGCTCTTTAAATGTCTGATTTATCTTTTTACCACCTGAGCTTCTCCCTGAATTGTCTTAGAAACTCTTCACTTGTTAATTTGTATCTCAGTCAACACGATGAATGCTACATTGTCTGATTTTATCACAATAACTCACAGCAACAGTGAGTGTCTGTTGTTCAGAGGTCGCATTGTGACTGTGGTAACATTTGCTGCTTAATCTGCACATCACAGGACCATCGCCAACACCGGACTGAGACTCTTTCCAGACTTCACCAAGATCCACTCCACAGGCCTGCTTCTGTTGTAGGTCTCGACGCAATGCACAACACTAATAATGCTGGACACCCACACACCATTATTCCCACATGCATTTGCACATATAGGCTACTGTATGTGCACACAATTAAATACGCCTGGAAGAAATCACACCATTCAACCTGTAACACTGCAGCTTAAACCTACGCACTGAGAACAAAACAGAATATCTGTCTTGTCTTGTCTGCAGCCTTTAAAAATCCATCTTCAAACTCTCTCCCATCTGACTTCAGCTTCCTAAAGAAAGTGGATTTAAAGGGGATTCATGTATTTCCTAATATATTGAACATATACATGCTGTCTTTCTACTTTGTAAATGTGTGTATACTATTTACTTCTCAGTTGTTTATAATGTGTTTTTGATCTTGTGTGCTGCTTAGTGACCTGCACGACAACAGCCACATAGAGAGAGTCCCCGCCAATGCTTTCAAAGGCCTCTGCACTCAAACTATCCCTGAGATGTAAGAGATTCATCACTTTTTTAGAGACACACACACACACACACACACACACACACACACACACCACCCTCACACAGCTCCGAGTGGGCATTACATACGCAATGACGAATGTTCCCTGAAATGCTCCCTGCTCTCCGCCTTCTCCTACTTTTCTCCTTTTTCTGCATTTCTTACACTCATATGGCTATATATCACCTCTTTTTCCCCCCATTCTCCTCTTTTTAAGTTGTAAATCCTGCTGAAAATCACATACAGGTCTATATAAAGGCCTTCTTAATCAGGCTTAGTAAGTCAGAGTGACGTGTATTTTAATTTTGCTTATAAATTCTTTTTTGTTTTTTGTGAAAAATCCAGATTAAAAGTTTGTATTTTTAGTATTTTTACTATAGTAGGCTATAGTATTAAACTCTCATATTATACAGTAAGTCTAACTACAGCTACTACAACAAATAGTACCACTGTTAATACTCAAGTTACTGGCCAAATGTGAAGTCGATTGAGCAATAATTGTGGAAAGTAACCAAGTATTTCCATTGTATACTATTTTACTTCCTATATTGAAAGGGAAATTCTACTTTTGACTCCACTACATTTTTCTGGCAGGTGTAGTTACTGTTATACTTCACAAATTAATATTTTACATACAAACAATGTCATCAGCTTATCAAATGTGATGCAATTTTAAACGTAAAATAATTCAAAGTAGCTCCCTCTCGACTCGTTACAAGTAAGGGTGTCACGATATCACGATATTGACAATAAACACAAAACACACAGTAAAAGTTCTAATTAATTTGACTTTTTTTTTTTAAAATAGTGAATTCTTTTGGCCATGATAATCATGTAGTAAGTAAGTCTAATATTGTGACACTTGTAGTTGCAACATTTAAGATCCATCTTAGTGATGCAACGTGTAATAATAATTCAATATGTGTAGTAACAAAACACATAATAATTACTTAATCACTTTTAATAACTAAATGTGTTTAATAATACTTTTTTGTAACATTTTGACTTATAATAGGCCACTTTTAAACTTTAGTATCTTCTTTTACTCAAAGAGTCCTATTAGAAAATTGACATATTGACTCATATTTGTCTGACTGGAGGAAGGCCGGGACAGTTAACCTGGCTATGTCAACAACAACAAAAATCCACCTACCAGTACCTCTAAAGCTCCTCTTTGTTTAATCCTTACAGAAAAACTACACATCGTCGTTTAAAGGGGGGTAATGTGCCTAAATATGTTTTGGCCTGGACCAGCAACGTCCTGGAGTTTTCTGCTGGTTGCCTGGCAACTGCACAGAGGCAAGAAATAGTCTGACAGTCCCCGTAAAAAATGGCAAATAGTTATTTTTACACTTCAGCTTTTGGACATATGAAACACAATAAAATGTGTTAATTAGCCAGCTTTAGAGGTGCTGGCAGACATATTTTATTACATTTGGAGAGAACCAAGGTAGCCTTTCCTCCTGCTTCCTGTTTTAAGCTAAGCTAAGCTAACCGACTGATGCCTGTAGCTTTATATTTTTACAGACATTAAAGCTCGACACCAGAACTCGGCAAGAAAGTATATTTCCCAAAATGTCAAACCTCCCTTTAAGTAACATTTTAAATGCAAGAGTACTTTTTAATTGTGGTATCACTACTTTTATTTAAGTAAAAATCAGAATATGTCTTCCACCACTACCGAAGGTCCCGAGTTGTCCAGTTAAAAAGTAGAAAAGGAAGAAAGAGAAGAAGTCTTACATAGTAATAAATACAGTTTATTCAGTGTATTCATGCAGCTTTAGTCACTGAGAACAAAAGAACTGCACTCACTAAAATTAGCTTTGATAGTTCAGATAAGTTTTCTGCTGGGACTGTTCCGTGTTGGAGCCACATGACTATAATTTGGCTTCCTTTTCTAATGACAGACGGCTCACCAGAAATGGCATCAAGGAGGTGGCAAGTGACGCCTTCAATGGCACAAAGATGCACAGATTGTGAGTCACGGGCAGAGCCACAATTGCAAACAGAAGATTTACAACACATATTTAATTTCTCTCTGTTCTCCTCCCTCTCTCTTAGGTTCCTAAGAGGCAACGAACAGCTTACTCACATCAATCCCAACGCCTTTGTGGGTTCCAGTGAGTTGGTGGTACTGTAAGCATGACATCTAACAGTAACTCATGCCTACATGATTCACCCTCCTCATCATCACTTATTAAACTCGAGATGTAGGAGATACAAGAGACAATGTGGCATGTGTGGGGAGGCTCAAAAGAAACATAGAAACGTGCCAGATTTGAGGTAAAAATAAACTGCAGTAATTACCTGTGTGTTCCCCAAGCACAGAGACACCTATTTCCATTGAAGCAGCAATCAGAAGGGAAAAAACTGTATTTGTTTTTCTTCTGGGCTGCCATTGCTGTAATGTTTTTTTCACTTCGCATCCCAGTAACACTTGGCAAGCGGTGTCTTGTCCCATAAATCTTTTGTTCAGGAAATAGAAGTTCTAGTGTTTTCTTCTAATGGAATTTTGCCAACATAGATTTCTTCTCTTAATCCAGAGAAAAATAAGTGAACAGCTTGTATAAACTGGTCAAATCACTGTTAGCCAATAGGGAAGGCGTCTGTTGAACATTGATTCTGAACTTAAAACCGCTGGTACTCTTCTTTGTTTGTGTAGAGACATTTCCCAAACGGCCCTCACCTCCCTGCCGGACTACATCCTCGGTGGACTCCAGAAGCTGATCGCAGAGTCCGCCCCCAATCTGAAGGAGCTTCCTCCTCTGCAGCTCTTCACCAAACTGCACCAGGCCAACCTGACGTACTCGTCACACTGCTGCGCCTTCCATAACATACACAGGAACAGGCACGCATGCATTATCATCAAACTGTCTGAAAGGAATTGATTGAATTGCAATTAATTCAAAGTACAACGCGTAAGATTTAACCATGAATGGCTAATGCAAATCTGTATTAATATCTCATTATGATTCCATTACTGGTTAATTACCATTAACTAACATTGTAGTATTGCCAACAGAGCCTTAATATAAACTCTAGAAGAAAAAAAAATGAATATTGTATTAGAGTAAAAACTATGAAAAATTAAAGAATCGTATGTGTTGTTGTGTGTTAGATCAAAGTGGAACTCCCTCTGCTCCCACCCCGATGCTCAGGGCAACCCTCACTTCTACAGGGACTACTGTTCCAACTCCACCTCCATCATCTGCACCCCAGCCCAAGACGACTTTAACCCCTGTGAGGATATCATGTCAGCCGTCCCCCTGCGGGTCCTCATCTGGATCATCTCCATCCTCGCGCTGCTGGGGAACGCAATGGTACTTCTGGTCTTATTAGGTATGAAATGGGACAATCATTTCTGTGGCAGAAATTTATGGCATTTTCATGGACCAATTCTTTGTGGAGTTTGTATTTAATTTTCTTTTAAGAATAAGCACATGCCAGATGTACTACTTTTTAGAGGTTAAAAGATATTTATAGAGATATATTGAGGTACTTTCCATTCAGTGTTTCCATTTTGTGAGACTTGTCCTCCAATACATCTGAGAAGCAAATGTACTTTTACCTCCACAGTTATCTAATTGCAGTACGTTGTAGTTTACAGATTCAACATGAGACTAATACATAACTGTATTACTGTATACATATTTTCTTTCCTTATCCTTCTCTCATAATCTGTTAACTTCTTTCCTTCCTTATTATTTACTTTCTGCATGCCCTCTTTGTGCTCTTTCTTCCATTCTTCCTTCTTTCCTAATTTCATTACTTCTTATAGTTTCTTGCTTTTGCCTTTGCTTATCCTCTTATTTCTTTTAATTTGTTTAAAAGGTATAAGGTTCTCACATAAACAGCAAAACTAAGCTTTACTCTCTTTTGCCATAGAATAGCAGCCTGAGGACATTTTACTAGTAATACTTATTTCTTGTTGTACTTGTCAGACTCAATTTTCTTTCTCTAATTTCTTCCTGTTTTTCAGGCAGCCGCACCAAACTGACTGTTCCCCGTTTCCTCATGTGCCACTTGGCCTTTTCTGACCTCTGCATGGGCATCTACCTGGTAGTCATAGCAACTGTAGACATGCTCACTCGAGGCCGGTACTACAACCACGCCATAGACTGGCAGATGGGCCTCGGCTGCAGCGTTGCCGGCTTCTTCACGGTGTGTATAGCTCTACATAAATAGCAACACTCATACATGCACGTGTTTAAATAGAAATATGTGTGTTTGTGTGTCAATTGCAGGTGTTTGCCAGTGAGCTGTCAGTGTTCACATTAACAGCAATCACCCTGGAGCGCTGGCACACCATCACACATGCTCTGCGGCTCGACCGTAAACTTCGCCTGAGACATGCCTGTATTGTCATGACAGCAGGGTGGATTTTCTCCTCCATAGCTGCTTTGCTTCCCACAGTCGGGGTCAGCAGCTACGGCAAAGTGGGTGCTTTAGGCCACTTATTCTCCGTTCAACTCCCGTGCTCTCCAGTTTGTGATGTTATGTTGTTATGTTCCCCTTTAGAATATGCTTGGGTCCCAGTAATTGAGGATGCAAAAGGATGCCTGCCAATTATTTTCTTAATCAGACGCCATAAAAAGTGAAAAATAGTCCAAGGTTATGTTATCAAATGTCTTGTTTTGTCTGACTAACAGCCCAGAAACTAAAGTTATTAAATTTACTATTATGTAAAACAAGAAACAACAGCAAATTCTCCCATCTGAGAACCTGGAGCCATCAAATATTTGTCATTTTTTCTTGTAAAATTACTTAAACAATTAGTTGATTATTACAATAGTTGCAGATGAGCTCTAATCAGTTAATTTACTGAGCAAACATTATGCAAAACCCCAAATATGATGCATTTCTGAGATGACATACTCTGAAATGAACCAGTAACAACTTGTGTCCCTTTCTATATTCCTGTAGTAGTTGTAATAGTAAAAGAGTTTTCAGGCTATTTGTCTAGGATTAAGAAACTGGGCAATAGCATGAATAACTTGTATAATGGCTTGATTGCGTGATTTTTTTAACGTGTGTGTTTGTTTGTGGTGCAGGTGAGTATCTGTCTGCCCATGGACGTAGAGTTTCTGGCGTCTCAGATCTACGTGGTGTCTCTTCTCCTCCTCAACATCCTGGCTTTCTTCTGCGTGTGCGGCTGTTACCTTAGCATCTACCTGACCGTCCGCAACCCCTCCTCGGCGCCGGCCCATGCCGACACACGTGTGGCCCAGCGCATGGCCGTCCTCATCTTCACCGACTTTGTCTGCATGGCTCCCATCTCCTTCTTTGCCATCTCAGCAGCCCTCAAACTCCCTCTCATCACAGTGTCAGACGCCAAACTCCTGCTGGTCCTCTTCTACCCTATTAACTCTTGCGCCAACCCCTTCTTGTACGCCTTCTTCACACGCACCTTCAGACGTGATTTCTTTCTCCTCACAGCTCGCTTCGGCCTGTTTAAGACCCGAGCACAGATTTACCGAACAGAGAGTTCCTCCTGTCAGCAGCCGGCGTGGACCTCTCCAAAGAGCAGCCACATGTTGCTGTACTCCTTGGCCAATACATTAAGTCTTGATGGGAAACAAGAGTTCTGACTGTTATTCAAAAGCAGATAGAAACTTTTTGCTGGATCGTCAACAGGAGGATCATATTTCTCTCCTCACAGAAGTCCTATTTCTCTCAGGAAAATGAAGACGATTCCTTGTAGGACTGATAGAGATGTTGACAGAATCTAACGCATACAAAGACATACAACTTTGCTTAAGAGGTGCACTTGTTTTGATGTGTGAACAGACTGCTAAATCCTCAAAATGATGCCCTAACTCTAAATTCTTATGCTTTAAATTACATTGAATTTTGTTGGTTATTATGTATGTTATTATGTATCTCTGATATGTTGCCAGTATTTTTGGCCAGCATCAGCTGCTGATTTTTCAGACCTGACCTCAGACCTGCAACAACGCAAGTATCCAGTGTCCTTCTTAAACCATGTGTGACAGTCAACTCTACTGTATGTACAGTGTGTATAGAAATCCAAGTAATAGCTACAGAACAACTGCAGATACTTTGACCAAATCTAGGTCAAATGGCTGTCCCAGATAATTCCTTGTGTTTGTTTTAATTTGATTGGAACGCCAGATGGGTGGAGTTTACTGCATGATAAAAATTGAGTTCACAAGTAAATGTATGAGGAGTATCAGAGGAGGTAAACTGACTTTTACTTTCATGCATCGTCTTACGTAACATCCGTCTGGTGTCCCAAGATAATGAAACAAACTCAAATACTTTGAAACTGTTTAATAAAGGTTTGACATTCGGGAGATCAGCATGCACGTCAAGAAACCAACATTCATTTAACATTCAACGTCATGATTGAATGATATTCATTAAGAAGCACACCGCAGGGACTTACTGTTTAATAATCTCCTCATACACCGTCTGCTGTAGCTCTACATCCCTCCACATCCCTCTTACCCTTCAGTGTCCATATTTTTTTAATGAAGGAGGTGTAATTATCTTTGTAATGTAATTAAGTTGTGTAAATGAAAGTACCACTGTTTTGTATACGTGTGTTTTGTACAGAATATATCTTTGAGATGTTTTTTTCATGTCATTTATAAATTTGTTTATTAAATCCTCTTTGAGTATATTTTGCATGAGTATATGAGGTGTAGTAACAAAAGGTCTCACACACACACTAAATTGAGCTGAAATGGCGTCCTTCAGAGCATCCAAAGCTTTCAAGGACAAAGTGACCCTACCAACCCTTTGCTCTGTGCACCAGGGTGGGTGGGCCGTTTCTGGGAGACTACACAGCTGTCCTTTCTGCTTATTACAGGAGGATGGATATGGCAGCTAGATAAGGCACACACTCAGAAGCAAGCAACCCAAGATTTCAAGGCTGCAGCTGCAAGAAAGAATCCGAGTCTATCTCATTGATATGGATACACTGCCTCCTACATGCCAGCATGGAACATGTGCATGCATTTATAGTCTTTAACCAGCAGGTGGTGCTAGGGATGCAGGATTTATTGTGATCTCTGCTCTGTTGTGGTCTAATGTCAGCCTCTCAACAGCAGTGGTGGAATGTACATGGAACAAAGTACATTCACTCAAGAACAAATTTCAGATACTTCAGTTAGCTATTTCACTACATCTCAGAGGCAAATATTGTACTTTTAACTCCATTACATTTGTCTTTCAGCTTTAGTTACTAGTTACTTTTCAGATGACCTTTTTTCATACACTTCCTAGTCAGTGAAAACCATGTATCTCCAAATTTAGTGATTCTGAATGAGTTTTTAGTTTTTTATGATAAACTAAAGGATTAAGTGTAAATTTACACAAAATTCTGTCTTCTGGAAAAATGACATAAAAGATACTACGATTATATGATGATCGTATAAAATATGATACATTGCTGTAGATTAAACTATCCAACAGTATATATAGTTGAAATTAGCACAACATACACATTAATACACCAGCAATATTAATCCAAAAACATCCTATCCAATAGTAAAACACTAACAGTGACGATTTTCTAGTATAAGAGTATATTTACTTTTGATACTTTTATTAGATTGTGCTAATAACACCTATTTTTTACTGACTTCCTCCACCACTGCTCAGCTAAGGCAAATGAGGGTGACAGCAAAGCACACCTTAAAAAAGCGAAATTAATTTATAAAAACATACATCAATGTGGAAGAAAGTGTTTACAGAACACTAACAATGACAATATACTATTTTCTTCACAGCTGGTGGCATTGAACTATATTCATCCATTATCTATAACCGCTAGTCCTTTGGAGGGTCGTGGCCATCAGTATTATATATATGAAAAAGAGACTGTACACAGAGTAGACCGCTGTCTGCACCAAGGAATAATATCATTTCTAAAAAAGGCTGGTGCAAGTTTAGACTGATACTGTCTTAGTAAGGTGTTGCTTTGCAGCTCAGGTGTGTGGTATTGTGGTCTTGTCTTTCAGACAATACCACATGCAGTGCAGACGATATTTTAAGTCTCCAGACAGAGCAGCACTGTGGAATAATGTGACACATTGAGGCCTGCAGAAAAGAAGCCATTACTGTACAGACTTACCCCCAATATGTGCTGTTGTTTCATATGAAAGCTGTAAAGTAGTATCTCATGGTGTCCAATCTAATGTATTTCATTTATTTTCAGGACTTACATACATCCTTTGTTGTGAATCTTATCTTTGTACGTCCAGTGTACAATTGGTGGTATAAAGTAACATTCAGGGCTTCTTGTTGACCTTAATTTGTTGCATGTCACACACCTTTTTTACTCTTGACTGGAAACTATCTAATAAAAAAGACCACAAAAAGTAATAAGATCCAACCAGCAGGATGTTAAAATTGGCAGAATGTAGTTTATTTGAGAACAAACTATGAGGACAATTGTGTTAAAATGGGGAAAGAAAATTGTAAAAGTCAAACTGTTTCTGCAGACATTCAGTTATTTCTGCTATATTTTCCTCTCATAACATACAATATCTGTTTACCCAAGCACTAAAAATGTAATCATCCTCAAACTTATATTCACTGATTACTAAAAAATGATTAATCGCAGCTTTGGTTGAATGTTGAAAGGTGTGGTAAGTGCTCCCACATACAGATCTTCTCCAGACACAATGTGATTAAAGAAAATAAAAAAAACCTCCAGACCTTGTAACATAACAAGTCTCAGTGTGATGCTGTCTCTGATATCATAGCCTAATCTTCTGCAGACAAACAATGCCCTCTTGTGGTCCAATTACATAAAACGATACTAATTGACTAAACATGTTTATTAAAGTGATACACCCCCAAAAATCTGCAATTTAAAACACAAACATCACCTCCTATGAGCTTAAAAAAAAGATTGTAATTTGGTTTCAGCCTCGGTTTGTCATGTGAGTTCAAATGGATGGCGACTGAAATAGTCAGATATTATATATATGTAGATATATTTTGAATTATTGATTAATTCTATTTGTATTTAAATGATTAATTGTAAAACATAATGACAAAAAGAGCATTACATTTCCCATTTGATCTCATTCTGCGTCTGAATTTAATTATTACATTTAATTGTAGAATTAACTTTGAAGAGGCTTTTAATTTTTAACTTTTTGTTATCCCATCTACTAATGCATCTGCTCCATCTCACAATTTAATATTGTGTTATGTGTCTCCTGAAATTAACATTTCCATTTTAAATATTTTAAAGTGTGAAGGCTTTTATTGATAGAAACATTACCTGCAACATAACCCAAGACTCTGCCCTCCAGTATGTCCTAAACACCCATTATTTTCACTAATATATGGCAAATAATACATGCAAAATTCAACAATTATAATAATAAAACAGATTCAAGGTTATACTGTTCACTGCACCTTATATTTTTCCTTGCACTACAATTCTACTGCTTATTTATACATTTTCTACATTTTTTATATTGCTTTTTTTTATATATAAATATGTCTAGGTTGTTCTCTTTACTTATTGTGTTGTTA